AGAGGTATATAACCACATTATATACCTCTGATTTTCCATCACAGTATGTATCACGATTCTGATAGAATGGAGATAAACATACTGTGTTGGAAAATCAGAGGTATATAACAAATTATAATAACTCTAAATTTTTTACTTGTTCGGTCTAAATCAAATTTAGAGCTATCAGAGGTAAAGATAAGCTGGGTATGTGCGTAAACAAGAAGACAAAGTCATCAATATCCCCCGCAATGGCAAAATACGCTTCATGATTATGTCTACGAGTTATGATTATGTCAAATATTTAGGTGTGTATATAGAAAAGTGTAAGGAGAGTATTGAAAGGTTTTCAAAGTTCTGCTCCAGAAAGCAGCACTATCACCAATATCAGGCTAAGTCAAATTTGTTGCCATGGAAATGCCAAAAATACTTTATTCAGAATTCCAAAACTACCAAAAGGCACCAGTACACCACCAGACCAATCTATGTGCCAAGTTTGGTGAAGAAACATTGAACGGTTTTAGAGTTCTGCTCCTGAAAAGAGCACAACCACCAATTTCAGTCTAAGTCAAACTTGTTGCCATGGAAACGGCAAAAATATTTTATTCAGAATTCCAAAACTACCAAAAGGCACAAGTACACCACCAGATCTATCTATGTGCCAAGTTTGGTGAAGAAATAGTGAACAGTTTTAGAGTTCAGCTCCGGAAAAGAGCACTACCACAATTTCAGGCTAAGTCAAACTTGTTGCCATGGAAATGCCAAAAATATTTTATTCAGAATTCCAAAACTACCAAAAGGCACCAGTACACCACCAGATCTATCTATGTGCCAAGTTTGGTGAAGAAATAGTGAACAGTTTTAGAGTTCTGCTCCGGAAAAGAGCACTACCACAATTTCAGGCTAAGTCAAACTTGTTGCCATGGAAACGCCAAAAATATTTAATTCAGAATTCCAAAACTACCAAAAGGCACCAGTACACCACCAGATCCATGTACCGGTATGTGCCAAGTTTGGTGAAGAAATATTGAACGGTTTTAGAGTTCTTGCTCCGGAAAAGACAAATGTGCACGGACAGACGGACGGACGGACTAATACCCCCTGCAAAACGCGTTGCGGGGGATAATTACGCAAATATTTATGTGAAAACTCTATTCCTATTAAGTCTATTGCGTACAAACACGCTTGAATTTTTGTAAATACTCAATAAATTTGATCTTACATGTGTACACACAAAAATGTCAAATCTTTGCTTGTGTACCGGTGGATAAATAAAATAACTGAGGTATACTGAGAGGTTCTATTTCAGCACATGAACTTGGCAACTTGCAGTCTTTCTTATCATTTCTCATTTTACAGATCAATATAAATAACAAATACATAAACCAACATTTAAATTCCATTATAATTTTACAATTAATGGCAAAATACCCAATTGAGTTTGAATATGGTGGGTACAATTTGTTTGGTTACCCAAAGAAAAATTAGGATACCCAACTGAGATGAACACAAGAGACAGTACATAACTCAATGACCCAAAAAGTTATCTGTAGCTCTGAGCTATTATAATTTTGTTATATACCTCGGATTTTCCTACACAGTATGTTTATTTCCTAATTTTAGCAATAAATAAGGGTACCAAGGGTCTAGCTAAGAATCCACACATTGGCATTAACATACACTTAATTAGAAAAATATATATTTCTATTTCACTATGTTTAGTATTGAGTACCCGAGGGACACAAATACAAACATTCAACTTAAGTTGTATAACTGATTCTTTTCTTCAGATATAATTATAAAGAACTTAAGATTTCTTTTCTACATAGACCATGTTATTTATAATTACATAACACGTTCCCATTACCATGCATCTTGAGAATTTTATGAGTGCTTCAAATAGGCAAGAGCCTGAATCATACCAGCAATATACCACACATGTAGGTGATTTTGGTTTAAGGGACTGATCATTCAGGGCGAGGATGTAAAAAGAGCTGAAGAGACTGGTCCCTGGACCATCACCCTTTTTTAACCCTCCCCAATTTTACGTAACACTTTTTCATGACACCACACCCCCAGCTCCCGAATGTAACATCTTAACATATTCCTCTGCTGTGAAAAGGGTGTGTAATAAAGTGAGTGAGTGAGTGAGTTTGGTTTTACTCTGCTTTTAGCAATATTCCAGCAATATCACGGCGGGGGACACCAGAAATGAGCTTCACACAATGTACCCATGTGGGGATTCGAACCCGGGTTTTCGGCATGACGAGCGAACGCTTTAACCACTAGGCTGCCCCACCACCCCTGTGTAATAAAGATAGAACATCACACCAGTGCACTAGTATGATGTTCTATATACATATCCAGGATTTTATGTGATGCAGAACTGCAGAAATGTGCATCCACTATGTACAAGTGTATAGAATGGATGCAGAAACACATATGGTGGCTAGTGATCCAGTGAGCATGAGGTGCCGGGATCGAGCCCACCTGTGACCGGGTGTGAAAACCTTGGAGTCAGCATTGTGTGCAGACTCTTTCAGTGTTGTCACAACCCCTAGTGTACAGTACACAACCCTGTGCATGTAAAGAACCCACGAATCCGTTGGTATATGACCCGATTGTGGCCACATGAATACGTGCACACACCTAGTTGCGGATACAGCAACGTGCACTAAACTTGGACAAAATACTGTGACTATGTGTCCCAGTCCACCCAGCTGTGAATGGGTACCTCGTAAGGATGGGAAAGCCGCAATAACTCAGGGTGCTTATGGCTGCAAGAGTTGTATGATCCCCAGGGAGTTGAGATTTCTAATAAGACGTGCTGCTGAGATTGACATCCAATGATCGAGGGAAAAAATACCAGCGCCTTGAGCATGCACTAGTGCTTGGATATGTGCGCTATATAATTGATGTGTACGTAATAGGTGCCGAACGTCCTCAGATAAGTAAGAATCTGATGAAGCGTCCATAAAATCCTCTTGAACCACAGACGTCGCTCTCTTGCGTGAAGGTACGATTTTCTGTCGCTGTAACTTGATACGCTTGGCGGGAGTGGGATCAGATTCTGTTGATTTCCTGTCCCTATCGGCAATTCTCCGGGGAGCAAACACGAAGGTAGGCCTTAAAATCCCCATCTTTTAGGGAATTACACTTGCCACATCATTTGTTCCAGTTACATTGTCCAATACAGTCACTATAAGACGAGTGAGGGTTGAGGGACGAATAATTCGTCTTTCATTGAGCACAAACTTTCCTTTTCCTTGAATGATTATCTGTTTTCCCCATGATGTTAGGGTGAAATAATGTCCCTAATATACAGCACGTCCACACAGTCGTGCGACAAGAAAGAGAATGATCATTCAAGGTAGTCACGTGGGCAATTAGTGGAGCATGCTGCAAGCTTATTAGGAACTAGGAAGCTAATTAAGGAGAGCAGCATGAAGTGCACGGGCGAATGGACAAGGAGGCTAATGGAAAAAAGTTTACAGTCGTTCCACTAATAGTCGAAGCAAGAGAGAGAGAGGTGCAAGTCGTGAGATAGGATAAGTTTAAATAAAATATTATTCACTGTTTAAAATGTGTGACAAGACATATAAAGTTGATGTTATTAAAGTAAGCATTAAACCTTACAGTACAGTCATTAACCTTAGAGAATCCCTGTATTTCTTGAAATTAGCAAGTAGGGGTCCTGTTCCAGACAGTACAATCAATCACCCATAGTATCAGCTACCCCATACAGACCACAATGATCCATGCTATCAGCTACCCCCTATAGACCACAATCACCCATACATCAGCTACCCCATATAGACCACAATGATCCATACCATCAGATACAATGACACAATGTCACTCAGGCCAGTTCCCATCCTATTACCTGTATCAGTAATTACCTGCATCAACTATTTACTGATACGAACATATGGAATGGGCCCAGCAGCTTTATCACACTGCATCAGGTGATGCTGACATGCAACACACACATGTACACACACAAACAACACTGAAACAAACATCGACACAGGACTACAGATAACATTCTCAGACATTGAATATTAACTCCTTCACACAGTTGCAGAAGGCAGAGGTTTCTTTTGGTAATCTAGATGTCTTTACTCCTCTGGGGCCGGTGTATTCAGTATTTTGACACATGAGTAGACAGTTTCTAAAAGAAGATTTCTTGAAATGCTGACTGCTAAATTATCTTGTGCATAATGCAAACATTTTTTTCAAAAAATAAAAGCCCAACGAGTATTTGTACCAATGAAATGGGCTGCAATATATAACTAGGCAAATATGATACATATTTTAAATATTGGGTAATGAATACAGTAGCAAGTAGACAGTTGATGTATTATTCAAGACATCAAGCCTGACTGCCCAATCTATCCAGTTGCCACTTCAACCAGCAAGGGTTCCTGGGGACATATTTCTAACTGTAAGTAAATGCAGGAGAACTAACAATGTTTTTCCTCTATACCCTGTAATAATGATGAAAGAAGACTAAACATTTTGTACCAAATTGTTTGCTGTCGGAGAGATCAATACCTGGGAGTCATGCACACCGTTGATATTTAGTGAATTAATAACAAAATCATTATTTGACAATTTTTGATGATGGTGGGAGTGTTGATTTATCACGACAACGACCAGTGACAGTCAAATTATATACATACGAATGCTAACTATTAACCTGCCTGGTTTGAATATATTCTGCTTTGCAAACTTGTTTTGATAAATAACACCCAAAACACACTTTTTTAAACAACACATTAATATTTGATAATAGTAATCACAAATAACGAATTGAATTCAAGATGGGGTACAGTTTGATAATCTGATTGTGTGAGTGATCATAACGTCAAAAAACAACAACTGAAGAAATAAATGGGTAAATCGACATATTTTGTATATCTACACAAACATGAAGCTTCCCTGGAGCTCCGCTGGTCATCAGTGAATGAACAACACTTAGAAACAAACACAAACACAACAATGATGATGGCAAGCCGTACCTGTGCTGGTCGGATTCTGTGTCTTAGGATCTGGTCGACATGGCTACAGACGCGGTTCAGACCCCCATACGTGTTCCAGACATTGGTGCTGTGGGTTGCCAGCAGACCCTCGATTGTTGACTTTAATCCAATAAGCAGCTCATGGTGTGTGGATCTGAAGTTACAACAGTATAGAGATGATGTGTGTCTAGAACAGACTGGCATCAAGAACAAACATGAAGTGATCAGTTTGTACACAAGGTTGTTGTTGCTAAGTGTTTGGCCATGTCAGTCTTTGTTCATATTACAGATTGTTATGCCAATATATCTAATATTCTACCATGACTTCAGTAAATACTGGATTGTGATTGGTTAATCAAAGTCATTCAGAGGCATATAATCATGTTATATACCTCTGATTTTCCAACACAGTATGTATTTTTTTTTTAAATCTTATTAACGCGGTTATGGTGGAATGGAGATAAATGTACTGTGTTGGAAAATCAGAGGTATATAACGAAATTATAATAGCTCTAAATTTTTTATTTAAAACCTCAACTATGTGTTCGGTTTTAAATCAAATTTAGAGCTATAATAATTGCGTTACATACCTCTGATTCTCCAAGACAGCATGTTTATCTTCTAAATACCATCACATTACAATGCTGCATTCTGATGGGTCTGCAAGAGTTATCAAATCTAATTTAGATCATCATTAACTAACACTGCATCTAAAAATTGTTACAAGACAGTGTTATAAATAACAATGTATCGTATGGATTTACAACTTGGTTATTATTTACAACATGACGTTTCTGGCTACTTCTTGCCCCAGTATGATTTACAAGCAACATATACAGTATGTACAGGAGGCCAGTGAGATGGAATTAAACACTGAGATGTACAGAGATCAATGAGATAAAGTGATATGTGTTGACCGAGATGTACAGAGTTCAAGGGGATTAAGTGGTATGTTTATGCAATAGATTGGTATTGAAATACTATAGATTGGTGTGAAAAGAGTGTTTATACAACAAGAAGGATATACACTGATATACATTGATTGGATATATGATCGATCTCACTGGCCTTCTGTATGTACTATACATTTTGCATGAAAATCCTACTGAAATGCTCATCAAGCATCAGACAACGTTATACATTGTTCCTGTAGGTAGTGCTCCAGGGTACGACAAGTTACTACAGGTTACTACAAGTTACTACAACCATAGGGGTTGTTGTAGAATCTTCTAGCAACTTATCTGTATGTATATAAGGGGACCTATCTATTGCTTCTCACCTCAAGCTACTGGAAGACTAGCCTTGTGTGTAACAATCAGTAGTATCCTGCCTAGGCCTATAGTAACAGGTCCGAGAGAGATGAATGTTGCCATGTTTGTCTTTACTGCTATAATCACTTCTCTTATACTGACTGATTGTGTACCGCCCCCTTACTTTGTACTGCGATAGTCATATCTGATTTGTATAGAGTTGTGAACTGAGTTAATTTTTTAATACAATTGTTAATTACAGCACAAGTCCTTGTAATTTGTTGGTTTCACTACTAGTTCTTTTACAGGCTAATTCTTGGTTAACTTTTAAGTGTCAACATGGGAATAAGAGTCAGTTCTTTTCCAAACCCACCCTTCTGTGTCTGTTACAGCATCTACCTATGATTCCAAACAAAGTGCCTTCGCGGACAATTTGAAAAAAAAGTCACTTTTTTATTTCTTTTATGTAATGTAGAAATGTTTAACTCAAACTGGCTATCAAAGAAAGCTTCCTGATAGCTGATGTGCTAGTAAAACTGCATGAGAAGAACCAATTGATTATCCCTCACCAACCCAGCAACAGAGGCAGGAACAAATAAAGACATAACCATCCCAGTGATTCATGGACTTGCAGGTCAGATCAGCTACAGCAAAGATAACATATGGAAATATCGGATGTCTTTTTTTCTCAACTGTTAAACATCAGTTTCCAGCTGTGATAGAGATACTTTGGTCACCCATGAAGCAACAGGTTTGTCAATGTCACATTACCCAAAACACAATGCTTTTTGGCCTGATATATCTTACCATCTAACTCAGGAAGCTTTATTCAATTAACATTGTTATTTCTGTACAAACATCCTATTCATTATCAAAATAATCTATAAATCAGTATAATTCAGTAGAGTGCAGTTGTCCACATGCAGTGTTTCCATTCAGTTAAAAAATTAAGAAGGTGCCTGGACCAACATTAAAAATCAATATTTTTTAACACACGGCTTCTGTATGTGATCAAACACAGTATATTTATAAATACATCAAACACACAACTGTCAAAACTAAGCATAATCACACATTAACCTTGATGAAGACAATAGCAGATGTCCTCAAGTCCATTACACATTGCAGAAGGAGCCCAAGCTAACACACTGGGTATCACTGTGACAGGAAATCGGTAGATCCTGTCATAGCTAAGGGGCATAATAACCATTTGATCCAGAAGGAAAGGTAGGAGATGACAGGTGCTAGCACTATGGTCCTTGTTTGTGTTTTATATTAGCACATGATTAATGAGCATTTAGAAATATTTCAGCTAAACCAACATGGCCTGTACTGAGTGAGTGAGTGAGTTTAGTTTCACGCTAATTTTAACAATATTCCAGAAAGATCATGGTGGGAGACAGCAGGAAATGGGCTTCACACATTGTATCCATGTGGGGAATCAACCCCGGGTCTTTTTGGTGTGTTGAACCACAGCTTCAACCACTAAGCTTTCCCTCCGCTCCACAGAGGCTTGTAAATAATCAAGTCTGCAGTGGTCTATAAACTGAGTCCATCATTGTCTGCGTACAATGACATCTATATCTAAGACATCAAGCCTGACCACCCAATCTATAATCCAGCCTCTTCAACCAGCAAGGGTTCCTGGGGACATATTTCTAACCCTAAGTAAACGTGGAACGAACATTGCTTTTTCTTCATCATGTTCACACCCCATTATAATGATGACAGAAGACCATACATATTGAACAAAATTGTTTAATGTCGGAGTAATCAATACCTGTGAGTCATGCACACTGTTCAACACAATGCACTCACTTGGAATTTTCTGTAAAACAGACTGATGAAATATTGAAACGAAGCTCATAAAAAATTTATTCACGTTGTTCATTTTCAGAACTTTACCTCAAATTCAACCTCCTGAGATCTTTCATGATCGCACAGTACCAAAAGTTGATAACTGGTTAAAAACTGCCATAACAGAATTGGCTCAAACACAAATAAGACAATACAATTGTTCTTTCTACTGAATTTCATGTGTGGTATTAGAAAATTAAAGAGGTTTTTAAAACTTACTTCAACAAGTATAATGGAGCATTGGTGGAACTGGAATGATGATCTCTTGATCCTTGTTTAAATAAATCAAAGATACATCATCCTTGTTTCATGTGGTGTCTCCTCAGGCTAGTGACTGTTCAAAATATGCCTGTATTCACCTAGCAGTGAATAACTAACTTGAGGAAGAGATAGTAATGTGAGTGTTGACCAAGCACCTGATAAGGCACCGTGAGTTGTATGTTCCCCAGGGAGCTGAGAATGATGGGTAATGTGAATGTTGATAAGGCATCTTGAGGTGTATACATATATATTGTGTGGATTTGATTTATTATAAACATAACAGGATATGGTGGTCAGGTTTGGTGACGTCGTTGACAGCTGTCATTGTATCCAAATGATGTTGATCGATGCTCATGATGTCAATCAGTGAAATCACTGCAAGGTTTGCCCTGAAGTGCAAATCTGAACTTTTGGGTAATAACAGCGTTTAAAATTCCCGCCTGCCGACTGTCCGGAACGGTCTATTTACATCTCGGACGGTCAAATTTCAAAAGTAGCCTGTCCGGTGGTCTGGTAGATGTTTTTACCCCTAACAGTAAATATTTTATAATATCAGACAGGTTCTCTTGTCGGCAGTTTGAGGTGTTTAAGGTATTATGATAATTATGTTAAACTATTTACGATTGGACAGTTCATTTTACAATAACCAATCACAACACATGTACTTTCAACATGGGTGTGGGTTCGAATCCCGGATGTGACTCAACCCCCAAAAGTACTAGAATCTGTACTTTACTGAGAAAGTGTAATCCCAAATATAACATATGTTGCATTTGATCACTTTCTAAAATGGCATTGTGTATTTCACATGTACTTTCAGTTTATCTGTTAGATTGGCATTTTAGAAGTTGATGGATAATAGAAAAGCATAATACTTTATGGATAGTGCTCTTGCTTGACAACGGTATAAGAAGCTATACCGAAACGTCGCATCACAACAAATAAAGAAGTTGTTATCCATAAAGTATTATACTTTTCTACTTTCAGTTTACCTAAACTCGGTGCATTGCCTGTGAACGTTAGTACTATGTAGTTCGTTGCAAGGCCTACACATGTACACAGTAAAGTATTCAGAAACCTGATTTAAATTTTTTTTTCATTGTTGAAAACCGGACAAGCAAGTTTGTATCCGGACTGGTAATTTTTTAAAGTAACACGTCCGGCTGTCTGGTTTGGGATTTTGGGAGTTTTAAACACTGGTAATAAGGCATTCCTACAGACTGAATTCTTGGTAAATTGTAACTGTGGCCTATTACAATTACATTTGATTTTCACAACCCATTTCTTTCATTACATCTGCTTCATATTAATCTATTCTTAACCCAAATATTCCCAGCTTATTTGGTAACTGGATTTGGATTGTACAAGCATATCATCACAGAAAACAACTGTTGAAATGCAAAATATCAGCCATTAAGTCATAAAGCATCACAATAATCACAAGCACTCATTACTTCCTGTGAAAAAATGTTTCAAGCAAATAATTCATTCTGATCATGTTTCTGAACTATCAAATTCTAATTTCCTAGTTTTGGTTTAATTCATATTTGTATATGAATACACAGCTACTTTTCAATGGTGATACTTTACTCTTCCTATAAAATTGTGTGAATATGATCACAATGATTCTAGGGCAAGTAAATTCAGCATATACAGCAATATATATTCTCGATCATAATAACATACAGACAAAACATGTTTTCAGATGGCAGTGTTTACTCTTGCTATAGTGTGGCAGGTTGCATAAATTGTTCATGTGATAATCGAGTCAACAACGGATGTTCTCAAGCATCCAAAACCAATAACACGAGGATATATCATAAATCTGGTAGATTTATTTGATACGAGATCCATTTTCAAATAGAGAAGTGAGTGGGTGTTTTCATACAAGAATGGCCTTATGTTAGTCTAATTAGAAGCTGGGAATCTCTTATGAACCAAACTAGAACTGGCTGGCCGAGTTACAGGCTATGTCTTATTATATTAAACATAACATCAGATTATTTCAGGTAAAGTAAACATTAAGCAAGTGTTCTTCCTCAAATAAAACGCTTTAGTGTTATTTTTGGACTTGTTAGCTAGGTCAGAATTTCTTCCATGAGTTGCCTGTTGCTTAGCTCTGCATTGCATTTACATTTTAAACAGTTCCCAGACCATTCATGATGAGACACAATCTGGGTTTAATATTATTATTTTGTTTATTGTGCTGAGGATATGAACATGATGTGGCAGATGATATTTGAAAACTAACACCAAATTCTCTGAGAGTGACATGAATAATGACGAACGTGAGTAATTTTCGAGAAATAGTATCGCTAGGCGTATACAACGCACTGGACATGTGACAGGTGAACCAACCTGCATCCTGTGGTAACGCTGTGTCACCGGACTAATTTACAATCGACAGAGGGGCACTCCGGTCACGCCCAGCGACTTTGTTTTCATTTATCACAAACCTTAGGACCATCTTTACAAAATTATATTCAGTGTCATTAACCTTACCCTGCCTTTGGTTCCTCATAATCACCACTGTCCGCCATTGTTTACATGGCTGACGTTCCCGTATTTATCAAGGGAGGTAACTGCAGGTACTCTAGAGTCTTCCGGGTCCAGAATGGATGATTTCAAGTTGTAATTTCGATACCAGATTTCATCACAGGTGACACAATTTTCTACTTTTCTTTTTAACAAAGTGTATGACATTTTGGGTTTTATAGACCAACATGTCCTGATTGAAACAAAACGTTAAACCAGAAATCTATTACACAACTAATTGTGTGAATCCAACGGTTTATACAAAAATGTTATAACAATTTAACCAAAACAAATTAACAAGACTTACAAATCAATACCCAAAATTGCAAAATAATAACAATTGCAGTACTTAATAACGAGACAGTACAAAACTAAATAGTAGTACAATTACAATGGCAGTGGTAATAGAAATTAGTACATTTATTGATAATCATTTCAACTTAACGGAAACAGTGACCATTCTGGACTGGATATCTAGATTGACAACGTTATTTTGTTTTGATGAATTGTGAGATGAAAGTAGCTTGCGTTTGATAACTTATAAAGTTTTTACACCTTCTTGAAAGTTCGATATCCTACTGGATTAGTCTGTATCTCTATCTCTAGGAGATTCCACTTTACACCTGTCCCCCGGAGTAACAAAATACATAAACTGCTTATACTTTAAATAGAAATACATTCCTGACAGGTAAGTATTGTACATATAATATGCTATGAACATCTACTAAATCTCAGTAACAATATCATAACAGTACATTACTTAACTCAGTTAGCTGTCATACCTCTCCCCGCTTGGGAGAAAGAAAGATTGAACATATACAATTTTAAGGAGACACTTGTTACGTATATACTCGTAAATATTGTGTGCAAGCTTTAGATTTTTTTTCAAAATAGGAAGTTGACAATTCAGTGTCTTTACCATAACATGTTTGATGTTCATTTGAAATCCCTGCAAAAACAAGCTCCAGCGTATTAGACGTGGGGTTTTCCTATTCATTTTAAGGAGAAAAGTCCTTTGATTGTGACCAGTGTATAGAAAATACAAAAGGGTCAAAATACACTTCAAATTATTGCAAGGCTAACAAAAATGCCTGATTGTATTTTCAGTGGTGGAATAATGTCTCTGACGTTTGTCAAGATTCACGTAAATAATAAAGACCAGGATGTTCAAAGCCTGATGCACCTTCTTGCATCATTATATCTCCAGCACAATGTTACTATAGTATCTACTGCCATAGACATATGTTTATTCTCGAAAACCGTCAACGGTGGTACATGAGACAATTCATAATTTACAACAATAAATATCATGAATAACGAGATGGAGGGAATTTACATTAATTCATAAATTAACACAAATACTTGGAAAATATATCAAGAAATAGAGATATTACACAAGTTATGGGTAAAACATTTTAAACTGAATTTTAATCGTTTGGATATAATGTTAATGAATATTGCGAGGTTGCGCAATATATTAGTTCTTCTTGAATTAAATCAATTTCGCCATCTTTAGTGGATTGGGCCATTGCACACATTTATTAGGAACAAGTTGAGATCGATCTGGCATAAAAACTTCACATTTAGACAAAAAATGAGACTCGTCTGCAATTGCAGGAGAATTGCATAATGGACAAATTCTTTCTTCTCTAGGTACACCGCTCCAGCGGCCAGTTTCAATTTAAAAGGCTTTTCAAAATCGGTGCTTTTAGAACAGGGGAATCTATAGGATGAATTTAACATTTGTACAAAGCAGCCCGACAGGTGCCACCTCAAACACATATCACCAAGTGAGTGAGTGATGTATCGGCATTATTGGAGCCATATACATGCAGTGAAAAAGCCTACATGAGTCGTTTGGAACCAGCCGTTATGAAACATCTCATAAGTTCATTTTCATGTATTGGATCTTGGAGTAGCATGCGCCTTTGCTTTAACAATCTGTGTCTGACCTCGACCAATGACCTGATGTACATCATACACATAAGCACGGATAGTCCGTGTAACATTAGCCCGGCACCTCCAACATTTGGTTTCTATATTTCACAACTTCTGAGGTCCAATTAAGTATTACCTGTGATTTTCAAAGAGCTTCATACGTCTCTTGCTCAAATATTGTTTGATCAAGGCCACCGTTACGTGTTGACTCCCAAGTGTGAGGATGACCTTTCACCCTGGATACTAGGCCTGGTATCTACCAATTCTACCATTGATGCAGTGAGCGAGTTCATAGAGTTGAGTGAGTGAGTGAGTTTAGTTTTACGCTGCACTCAGCAGTATTCCAGCTATATGGCGGCGGTCTGTAAATAATCGAGTCTGGAACAGATAATCCAGCGGTCAGCAGCATGAACATCGATCTACGTAATTGGGAACAGATGGCATGTGTCAACCAAGTCAGCGAGCCTGACCACCCGATCCTGTTAGTCGCCTCTTACGACAAGCATGGGTTACTGAAGAAAGTGTCCCAGCTAAGACAGATCCTAACTAGTTAGGACAGGAGTTAGGACAGCCTACCGTTAGGATAAGACACATTCTCAAAACGACCCTATCTTTGTCCTAACTTGAGTTACCGATCCCAGCTAGCTAGGATAGCGAGCTCTTCAGTAGGTGAGATAGAAAAACCTTCACTAAGTTGGGGATTCCCCTAAATATTACCCATGATTCATTCCATACAAAACACATAATATAAGGAAATTCAGCTTTTGATGGACTTAGTAGATGTAGAAGAAATTATTCGATATTTTCATCACATTATAGTAGTTTTCAATGATGTCGAAACCTATGTTGCCTTTGAATCACAGGATGAACTCGATATGCTCTCTTTTCTATTTGGAAGTGAAACTGTTTTTAATGATAATGTTGATCAAGGGACATGGGAAACAATCATTTTACGATTTTCTTTGTACATTTACTGAATAAGACGACATCTCCTACAATGTTATACTGATTGATCTCTGCAGATGTATAATGATGTATGTCCACCTTCGGAAGTTTCTTGTATGAATTAATTGTATACACATATACATGTATGTTCTTATGTAAATTGTAGCTTCAGGTAATCATCTTGATTAATATAATTGTATATACACCTATATCAATTTTGTAACTTTGCCCCCTTTCTTGTATATTTATATACATATGTATGCACATAATATGTTTGATCTTCATGATATAAAGACTTTGATCTCTCTCTCTCTCTCTCTCTCTCTCTCTCTCTCTCTCTCTCTCTCTCTCTCTCTCTCTCTCTCTCTCTCTCTCTCTCTCTCTCTCTCTCTCTCTCATAGATAACTTGGCATAATTAAATCAAAATTGTTATGAGATTGACGTTTCCTTATGTCACATCACAGCTTTATCAAACATCAGGATACAATGGCCTCATTGTGTAAACAACTTTCCAATATTTATAGGTGTGCGTTTTTATACGATTTTAAATACTGACAGGTGAAATAAAGCAATATGAGAAAATATTTCATTCTTGAGCTAATACGATTTGAGGTTATCCATATTTATGACTTCACGGTTTCATTAGTAAATTTTATCTCATTTCTTACATAAGGCCATGACATGTTTAATGAAATGCCTCGGTAGCGTCTGTGACAGTATACCCCGACAAAGCATTCGGCACATTGACACATCCGGTTCTGGGGGGTAAATGTCCCTCCATTCTCACATGGATCCGTCTATGGTGATATGAAGTTAACATTTAAACTTGAATGAAATAAAACACTTTTATTTAAAAATAATATTTGCTGTAGTGCAGCGTTAAACAATAAACAAACAAAACAAAAAGTTGTAAAGACAAACAATATGAAGATCTTAAAATAGCAAGGTGGGCAGGCGTCATCAGTCACAAGATCAGACAACCTCCGTCGGTGTACATCTCACTCAGCCGACAGGTGTAGTCGTTACTGGTGATGCAGGAGGCTGACAGACAGCGGGAGCTACACAGACAGCGGGAGCTACTCAGACAGCGGGAGCTACACAGACAGCGGGAGCTACACAGACAGCGGGAGCTACACAGACAACGGGAGCTACACAGACAGTGGGAGCTACACAGACAACGGGAGCTACACAGACAACGGGAGCTACTCAGACAACGGGAGCTACTCAGACAGTGGGAGCTACACAGACAACGGGAGCTACACAGACAGCGGGAGCTACACAGACAGCGGGAGCTACACAGACAACGGGAGCTACACAGACAGCGGGAGCTACACAGACAGCGGGAGCTACACAGACAGCGGGAGCTACACAGACAGTGCATGGTGCACTCATTCTTGTTCAGAGTTTTCTAGAGCGAGATGAAGTCACTGTCTGCTTTTGATGAGGGACAGGTCCTGAACAGAACTCGCCTCCTTGTTCCGGTGACTCCAAAGACATTAGCTACACCAGCAGGCAGGGCAGCAGAAGATGCATCGTTGCAAGCTCGGTTCTAGGTAGCTTTAAATGTCTGCAACAAAGAAATGGAATAAATAAACGAGGGATATTATTTATTCTGAGCAGACATTAAGCAGTTTGACAGTGAACTGGTAATTTTCATAGGAAGGCCAAACGTTTTTACATTTTGGCGAAAGAAACCATGACTGACTGAGTTTGGTTTTACGCGCTTTTAGCAATATTCCAGCAACATCACGGCGGGGAACACCAGAAATGGGCTCCACACATTGAGCCCATATGGAAGAAAACATGAACACTAAATGTGGACGTATGTGTGACTGGAACCGACGGCCTGCAGATTCCAGCACGGTTAATATCTGCAACTCATTCAAACATCTCAAACATTCTACATGGATATTAGGGGTGACTGTTGAGGGGGAAACAACTATTGCGATTACAATAGTCTATTGCAACATACTATTGCAATACTTTTTTTTCTTGAATTGTCTCATTTTAAGTCCTTTTCCAAATGAATGTATAGTGTATATGAAATATAAACAAGCTGAAGTAGTTTCAGTCTCCTCTAATGAGTGACAAGAAACTTGAAACCCAAATTAAGTAAACAGTTAAAGCATGAAGTGAATGTAGCTGCAAGTATGCACC